GTTTTCCCCCCCCACCCCCCCATCAATCTTACATGAAGGAGAGATGCTCAGTTACTCCAAAAGAAGAAATCCAAAACTGATAGAGAGATGGTTTTGAAATAAAAAGTATGGAACTTACTCCCTCACAATATGGTACTGGAAGAGAAATTAGCAATGCTTAAAACAGATTATAATTATTTCCAAATGGGGTTATAATACAGTAAGTTTTGAAAAATGAAAAGTGTAGGCTAAGTTACATTTATTACATTTTGTTCCAGTCTTATTTCTAAAGAGTAGATTAGTTTGCCACTTACTCCAGACATCAACTTTTGAGGCATCATATAGAGGCCATGATCAGAGTTGGGATTCTGGACAACACTGAGCATGGCAGTTTCCTTGATGAGGTGCATATTGCCTACATTTTTTGTATTGTCAATTCTGACTAATCAAAAAAAGTCCAAAAACAGGTGTTAGTACACTGCAGTTCAAGGTTTCAGGGTAGGTGAAACATTAACAGTTTTTTTTCCAGCTGTATTTGAAGAAAGATTACTCAAGAAAGCATTTGTAAATATACTCCAGTAACAAATTAATTTCTCTCATAAAATGCGGCCTCCAAAACATAGTATTAAGCAGAGAACCTGGTATTTTAGGAGCTGATATTAGCTCCCCCTTTTGCTAGTTACCAGAGAAGTTCCTTGCAAGGAGGTGAAGTATTTTGCATTTCAGTTCATTTGTGCAGTATTTTTTGTAACTCAAAGACAACTTTGTCACTGCTGTCAATTTTTGTCATTCTCTTCCCAAAGAAAGGTAGCAAGAGCTGTGTTAAAGCATTTTAAAGTATTTTTTTGAATAAAGCTCATCCTTTTCCTCATTGTAGTACTGCATGCTGCTAAGACCAGGTAAAAATATCCTTGCTTACGTTGAGCAGAGAAAGATGTTACTGTTCCTCTCGTTGACTGTAATATGGCTGCTTATGAAGGATTTAAACGATTTTTAGCAGAAGTATGTTTCTCATTCTTGGAGGAGGGATGGATTAAAGCCATATATCTTTTCTGCTCTGATAAGAGGACATACTCTTCTGTTCTTTGTCAGCGTGAAACATTTGATACTTGATTATATCACAGGTGCTTTCTGGCTGAGGGGCAGGGTGGGCAGGAGAGAGTCCCCCTCCGCCTTCAAAAGGCATGGGTTATATGTGCATCCAATATTAAAAACCCACACATGTCTCTAAATCTGTTCCAGACCAGGCTCCAGAGTTATCTAGGGCTAGGGACAAAGTTTTCATGTGCAGGCAGAGTTGGAGCTGCTCTAAGTATCAAATCTGATATCTTCATGACACTAGGTGTCACGAAAAACGTTACTTAATTCTCTAGCCAGAGTCTGGTGATAAAGTGTTATCTGTAAACTAGAAATAGGGCTGAAAAAGCACCGGAGACAGGATTTGCTAGAGATTTCCCCCCCCCCCACTCCTTAAGTAAAGTTCTGTGCTTTCAAAAGCATAGCCTAAGTAGTTACACCAAGCCTAAAGCCTAAGCCTTATTTCTCAGATAAAGGGTTTAGTTCATTTTTTCAGTATGTTTATTTTTTTCCCAGCTCTGCTTTACAGTGCATTTGGAGTCATTATTGAGAAGACACGAGGTGCAGAGGATGACCTGAATACCATAGCTGCTGGAACCATGACAGGAATGCTGTACAAAAGCACCGGTAGAGTGGCAAAATGTTTCTAGTGTTCCTTTTGTGCTTTATCCAAACTATTAGGAACTCGTTCCTTTTTCTAAATCCAGTCCTAGTCCTGCTTTGAAGATTAACAGTGAAAAAATGGTTTATTAGGAATATAAACAAAAAGCTATATTCTAGTTCTATAAGGTCCAGTCTTCTGGTATTGCAGCCACACTATGGTATGAATCACTTGTTACAAGGAGTTTCATCTTGAAGCAAATCAACCTATGTTCTGTGTATTCTTTTCCTGTCTTTCGCAGTGGACTTGAGACTGTTTTTATGCCTGCTATACCTGAAAAAATATAGCTAAGAAGGAGCTGTTTTGTGTATTAGCTGAACACTTATAACTCCGAGTAAACATCTAGCGAGTATATGTGTAATGGACAATTTGGCTCTCATGATTATTAGTCCTGTGCAAGCTTGAAAGAATCCAATTTAATTTGTCTAGAAATATATAAATACTTATTTTAAAGTATAAATTTCCCTTATGTAGTCTTGCTGTGTGGAAAACAATGTGCTATTGGGGGGGAATATTAAACTATTAGGTCTCAGTTATCTGATAGATTTATTTATGCCAAAAAATGAAGAAATTAAAACAAAGCCATCTACTACTGAGGTTAAGCAACAGTAATCAGAAAGATTGGACAGTGAGACTGTGACCTTCTCTAAGCATTCATGAAGCCCTGGTATTCTTCCAGTACAATCCTAAATATAGTTTAAGAAAAAAATTACTTAATAGTTTAGAAGATTGCTTCCAAGCAAGTGAAAAATCAGAAATTCAAATCTAACACAAATCCTTGTGTTTCCCCCCCCCCCCCCCCCCCCCACAACAGGTAGTGGTGGAAGAGATTGTGGTAAACCTGAGGTTTTATAAATCCATATCATTAGAGTATGTAGAAGGAAATGGATTTTTTTTTAGATATTTACATAGCTGTTTGAAATTGTCTAATCCTTGCATAGTGATCAAAACCAACAAAATGTTATTTGAGAACAGCATGAATGTAAGGTTAGTTTGTTGCTGAGTATTGAATTGTTTGCAGAAGAAAGGGTTTGACCTTCATCAGCAGAACTTCTGTTAGTACGTTTTACAGGCTGAACATTTGGAGGTAGTAGTTAGAGAACTACTGGGTACCACAGATTGGGGGAGGAGAAGTATTTTATAAGTTTTAAGTAACTTAATAAAGGTTTGGCTATATGGTTCATCTGTATTTTACAGAGCAAGTACTAGAATTAACCAACGTGGTTTTTACGTGTCTAACTGAGCCTCAGTGTCTTGGGCTTGAAGGTCAGCTCTATATATGGGGTTAAAACAGGTTGAGAAGCCTTATTTTCTTGTGGTCTTGAGCAACTGAAAGCCAAGTAATTGGCTTTTGCAGCCTTATAAATACTAGCTTGTGCACTTAACCTTGCAAGACCATATAGCTCTCATGTAATTGGTTACTTATTTGGGATTTTAAGTGGTATGCCAGATTGCAAGCAAACAGCTGGTTAGGATAGCAGGACAGGAGTTTAACATTTTCTGTAGGAAGTTATCATTAAGGAGAACTGCTGTCTTACACTTCAGCAGAAGTTCCCCCCCTTGCCTTTCAGACCTCTAGAAACTGTATTATGCATAATACTGCTTTTTTGGAGCAGTGTAGCCATGGATAACTGCTCCAGTCACATGCACTGTCATAGACACTACAAAATTAAAAGTTTTTCTTACTAGAGTGCAGTGGGACTTTTGTTCTGTAACATAGTATCTATTGCACTAATAGTAGCATCCATAAAGGTAGATGAAGTAAGTCTGTATTCATTACAGTATCCTTTTTTAGTGTATCCTGCATGTGAAACGGTGCACAAACTGAAAAGAAACCTTTTCAGAGTATACATAGAATTTGAGTGGTAGAGTAGACTCTAAAGGACAAGGATTCTTAAAGTGAAAAAGAGATTCCCATCTGTTCCAAGATTAATTCCAGTTTTACTTTCAGGTCTCTAGAGATTTTTCCCTAATGCTCTATCCTTCTTGTTTTGTCTCCAATGTTTGTGTGCTTCTTCTCCTGTCACGTTATGTCAGAATACCCTTCCTAATTCTCTGTGGTAAAACCTTCCCTGTAAAAATTATACCTTTTGCTAGCATCAGTATATATTTGGGGGGGGGGGGGGGGTAAAAGCACATTCTTTGTCCAAAGAGATCTATAGCTTCCATGCTTGGGATGAAATTAACTACTGTGATTACTTACTAGCTTCTAGCAATCAAAGTACAGTATTAACTTGATAAACTAGATTTGCAACTTCATGCAAGCCGCATTTTGAATTCACAACTTACACTGGATATTCTGGACAGCAGTTAAGTGAACAATGAAAACATCTCTTTTTGTTCCTTTGCCAGTGGCTTATGAAGTAGAAGCGTTATGAAGTAGAAGCGTTGTTGCAATAATGCCCCGAGCCATTAAGCAAAACTTAATTTGTTTACTTTTCCCAGGTAGAAACTATCCTGTAAGACATTATTACTCTTAGAGAAAGACTAGTTTTTCTCCTTTGGCCTTCTTCGAGTTTCCAAAAATATAGTCACAGTTTCTGGGGAAAGTGTTTATCCTTTGTTCTTAGGAGCTATACATTCAAGCACAGTTTCTTGTATTTAAAAAAAAAAAAGCACCTTTGACTTTGTCAAATCTGTTCTATTTTTACTAAAAGAGAATCTGAATTCTTAATTCCACTAGGATGGATTTTTCATTTAGGAAGATATGTATTCTTCAGCTTCAAAAAAGGCAGAAACTAAAATATTTTGACATCATTGTATTAGCCTCTGAAAGTAGCAGTGGTAAAGGAGGCAAACGGTGTTAGAAAAGAGCGAGCAAAAATCAAGATGATGATTGTCACTATATACTGTGTCACTATTGCACCCTTTCATCAACTGTGTACACAGTTCCAGTCATCATGTTATGAAGAAAGGTATAGTTGGGCAAGACCTTTACACCCTGCCTCAAGCATACACTATTGATCAGTCAGGAAAAAGATACTGAGCTAGGTGGGACTTTGGTCTGACCCAGTGTGACAGGCATTAATTTCTGTTTATTGAAACTCTTGACAGGGAGTTCACTGGGCAGAAATTTAAACAACCTTTAACTCATATCTGAAGGTTGCTCACATTGTAGATGTTCTCTCTTAGATAGTTTTGTTTCATTTGGAGGTTAGGGAATAAGAGTGATTTAATTTTTAAGACATAAACTGGATCCATTTGTTTTACAGTAGGAACCTGATGCTAGGTAGAATCTCTCATGCCTTTTGCGCAGGAAGTGTTACAGAACGTGGTATGCAAAGGTGTGCACCTGAAGAGAAGGGAGACACGTGCTAACGAGAACTAAAGGGAACAGTTATCCTTTTAAGACCTCAGAACACAACCCTGAAAGCCAACACATTACAAATTAAGAAGGGCTAAATGCTTTATTGCTAGCAATTAAATCTGGCCAGAGGTAAAGATAACTTCGGTGACCTTTAGTGGGTAGGAGTTCAGGGCAATTGAATTAGCTAAGTGCATGTGGAATGTAAAAGTCCCTTCCCTTTGGGCTCACGTGTATTTTCTTTTGGGACAAAAAGGTTTTTTGTTGTTTTCCTTGTAGGACAGGAAGATGTTTACTGACTGCTGCAGTTATGGCTCTGGATATCTTGCTTTTCTGCAAATAAGGCAAAAAATTAAACAATTTGCTTCTGAACTGCAAACATAAGGGCATTTTATAAAATTAGAACCTCTGTTTAAAACCACTTCTGACATGAAAGCAAGTTTATAGGCCAATTACTCAAATGGTGTTTGTGAAAGGGTTTTGTTTAAGGTCTGAAACAAGAGAAGTAAAAGGTGAGGGCAAAGTATAAGGAGATGTTACATGCAACAGCTTGTTGAGGCTTTCTTTGTTATTCAAAAGCTAACCTCTAAGAATACCTGGGGCATCTGAGTGCCTTCTCCCCTACTCTCAGGAACAGAAACAGAACTCAGCTCTTACTGTTAGTGATCTGCAGGGTTCTTGCTGCCATTTACAGCAACTGCAGTGGTCTCCTGTAGTTCAGGTGCTGCTTTTTTTCACTCAGTGAGAAAACAGTAATTTAATACATGCAGAGTAATCTCACCAGTTTTAATACCTCTAAGCTTTTAAATGAAAATGTAAATTCTTCCACTTTTTCTAATTTAGCCTTCTCACCATAGTTACTGCAGGAAAGTTTCCCCATTTCAAGCTTTGTTACTTCTGCATTTTAACCACACCACTGTCTTAGCTGCAGCAGTTTGAAAAGGGAACATGTTTGTCTAGGATGTTTTTTGTTTCCAAAAAGTTAATCACATTTCCCCAGTAATTACTGTACCCACAGACTTTGTCCACACTTGCGAGATTTCATGCAACTCCCATGGGGGAGCAAGAAGCTTTAAAATTTTTCCCTGACATCGGGCCACCCACAGTTTCACCAGACGCCTGTGCCCAGTGGTTGAGAGGGCCTGATCGGCTACTGCTCTGCTTGAAGTCAGAGCAAACTGAGGTTGCCTTGTATGTCTAAAAAGTTAAGCCCTTTAGACCATTTCAAATGGTTTTTGTTCCCAGAAGCCCTGAAGGAAAAAAGTTGTTTGAATTCTAAACATCTGAGAGAGACTGGAAGCCAGAAAACTAATTCCAACTTAACTGTTACATTTCCTTTGTTTGGCATAAATATAGGAGTTTGGGCTCCCAGTTCAGGTATTCCTAATGTTTGCCATTAGATGGTTCTTGCTTTAACCAATATTTCCTGGGATGTTTTCAGTAACACGCTCTGAAAAGTCTTAGCTATTTAATAGAGGCATTAAAGTCTTAAACTGAAGATGTTCCCTCATGTAAGTCATGGTTTTCCTTAGCATACAAGTCAAATTCAGTGTTAGGGAGTGGGCCACGCGGCGAAGCAGTACAAAGCTGTGCTAGAATGCTCTGGGCCATTGCATAGTGTGCGCTGAAGCAGATTTTAGATGTATAGAAGAGGGACAATACTTTATGGTGAAAGTGTTATCAGCTAAAACCAAACAAAACTAAATTATCAGTCAGAGAGCATCAGATGCATCTTTAGAAACCCATAGCAGCTTCTGACCTATCTTGCAAGTTGTCTGATCTCAAAATACCTGCTTCCAGAAACGTCTGTCAGCTGGAACTTTAAGTTATCTTATTCTGACATGCAATAAGAGAGGCTTACAGCCCCACGTTTCTAGCAGGGTTTGCCAGGGCAGACTTGGTATCTGAGGCTTGCAGAGAGTGATTGCAGAGGAGGGTGAGAACTTGGTCTATCATGCAAACACAGCTGGTATGGGGGTGGAGAATTTTTTAAACAAGGTAATCTCCACAGAGGGCTTAACATTTCCTGCCCAGCAACTGGGCTGTATTCTACCCTGCACTACTGTTTGATGCCTGCCACAGACCTGGAAGTATTTACTCAAATACAAATCTAGACAGTTAGGGAAAGGAAAGGCTTAAAAAAAAAAAAACAAACCACTTTTGTGGCTCTGTCAGACAGCAGACGACTAACAAAATAAATCACTGGCAAAGTTTTGTAGCAGAAGCATAGGAAACCTGGTAAGAAACATTTTTAAATGCATTTTCTTGGAATTTTTCCCAGCTGACTCAGTAGTGCACCTGTACCAACTGCACAAGTTTACTCTCAGTTTATGAAACAGACTTCCACTGAAGTGAAGTACAAGGGACCCTAAGTTGTCTGCAGACCTACAGACTGCTCTAGGCTGGTGTGGTTGATGCTTGGCCCTCACCACATGAGAGCATTAACAGTGCCTGGTGTTAGGAGCAGTACGTGCAAGCAGCTCTGTATGTGAGTCTGTATGGAAGCTAGAAAGTGACTTAGCTATCCAAATTAGAGAAGATGCTTCTCTTGTACCATATTGCTTCCCAGAATCTGAAACTAGACTCGATCAGCTGACTTCCAGCTATCTTTTTGCTATGGGAAGAATAGGCATTTAAGGGGAAAAAATTGAACTTAGGAGGCAGGGAAGAGACTACAGGATAGTCATAGCTCTGTCCTACCTTGTGTTCTGTGAGGGAGTTCCAGGTTTCTTGCATTTTTCCCTGTATACCCACCTGATTAAGAGCCCTCTTTGGGGGTTTTTCCTATGAGCAGTTACTTCCTAATGTAAAGAGTGGGAGGAGGTCTAAGGTTTTATTCATTTTCCCAGAAATAACAAAGTAGTAGGGGTTTTATATTCTCACATATTTGTTTTGCACATTTGTTTTGTCCTTCAAATTTCACTTACAGCTTTTTGCCAGAAGCTGGTTGCTGCTGAACAGTTGTGTTCCCAGCTGCAACCTCCTCATATAAAAAAATTTGTGCTACAAATTTAGGATGAATTATCGAAAACAGAAGTCTACATTCAGGTTCCTAAACACTGGTTTAGACACCTAGGTGAGAGGTATGGCTTTTGTTACTCCTCAGAGCTTTACTGAGAGCTGTTGGGTTTGCAACAGCTACAGAAGTGGGACCCACTCAGTAAGGCTTTCTGAAGATGTGGCTGTAATCTTTTATCCCAAGAAGGACCCCCAGATCACCACAACTAATCTATCTGCAAAATGTCTAGAAAGAATGGCTAGATACAACCTCTAGTACTGAGTCCAGCTTCTGCTCTCCCCTCTACAGCTTCCTGGTTTCAGTACGTGCCTGGGCAACATAAATAAGTTTAAGATGTAACCGCTCTGATGAGATTCTGCTTAGTAATGCAGCACATATAACGCAGCCTCGGGCTAGCTGACGCCAACAGCTCCTTGCCCCACTACAAGCCTAAATGCAATTCAAGGAAGACAGTTTTATGACCTACTACAGTGAGGGAATAAAAATAAAAAAGCCACGCACCCCACCCAGATTACTAGGATGTGTTTCTTTCCAAGTCTGAGGAACCCAAATTCCTTTGTCAGTTTTACCAATAAATCAGGCAGGCTTTATCTAGCTGTGAGCTGAAAATGACCTTACTCTGTATCCTGTACACATTATCGAGCTTGCTTCCTTTGGTATTGATAAACACTGCAGTATCAAACTTAGTGAAGTTTCCCTACGTGTTGAGGGTCATGGTCTCAGGTGTTCCTGCACATACAGTGTATTCTGGGGATTTTTCCAAGGCACTTTCAACTACTGAGAAGAAAAAAGTTCTACCGTTTAGTAAAGAGTGGCGAAAATCTCCATGTCTGCTGTATATCACAGCTTTGACATAGGGCGTGGAACAGAGTTGTGATGCCATCGGACTCCTAGCACCAGTCAGTTGCATTGACAGCTGGTAGTAGCCAGCCTTGCACTGTTTTTTTTACCTCCACAACTTTATTTTATTGTTTGTGTAACTAAGTTTTTGCCATTGCAAGATGACTGAGGATTAATACTAGTAAAAATTCAGTGGATGCTCTATTAAGTCCTTGCTAATTGATCCCTTTCATCTACTTCTTCAGTTTTTTCAGAAATTCCAAAAACCGGAAAGCAGTGCTAAGTTCTATGTGCTGGCCCTCATGAAGCTCTGGTACCCCAGATCATGTCCACATCAGCTGCTGTTGCCACGACTTATTTCCATCCTGCCCTTTCCCCTTCCTCCCAAACATACTTACTGTAGCTGACAAACACAATTATTATTCCTCAGCTGAAATTCTAAATATGAGACTCTTAAAGCAGGAAGAGATCATATCTGCCTATAAGCATCTGTGATGAGGACAGATGAAATAGGTAAAGTATGAGTTAGGAAAAGCCACGTTTGCTTCAAGTGTCCTGTAGCGATTTAAGGCAGTAGTGCAACAGTAGTTTAACTGAAAGTCACGCTGGCCAAATTAAAGTCAGGATCAGAAGTGACCCATATTTTCTTGAATCTGGCAGTACATTTGAGGGGCAGGTAGAACAGACACCCCTTGTAGAAGGTTACTCAAAAAAAAGCAAAGTTGTGTTGTACTTAAGATGCTTCGGGATTCACACGGCTTCTCGGAAGTTGCTGTAGCTGGCTATTTCCCTGAATGTGACTTAATAGGCTTTTAATCTTTTTTCCCCCCCCTCAGGTGGACTGCGTGGGATAGCACGAGGCGGCATTGCAGGTCTGACGCTTACTGGCCTCTACGCTCTCTATAACAACTGGGAGCACATGAAGGGCTCCATAGCCCGGCAGTCCCTCTGAGCAGGGCAGCCAGCGCTGGACAGAGGACGTGCTTGCATAGTCACGAATCAAATCGGTTGTGAGATCTGTCTGGTGCCCGTTACTATTTTATTTACAATTAGCACTGAAGGAAGCTATCATGCTGGAAGGAACCTCTTGACACGATTTAGCTGGACTGGCCCTTTCCTTCCTGCCAGCCAGTCGCTGGAAGCGGCAACGTTTGTTGGACTGCAAGCGAACAGAGTGGCCACCAGGATCCAGTCTCCCTGACACATTCACCAACTAGCCCCGGGGCAGAGCTGCAAGGCGTGCTCAGGCCCCATAGTTGTACATGCTGCGCCACCAGGTTTGTTCAGTTGCGTGTACTACACCAATAGCGCTGCATAATAAAGTTTGTGTCCACAGAGCTATTTACTGCAGTCTTTCAACATCCATCACCCCATCAGCCAGCATGCAGCAGCTGGAACAAGCCAGACACAGGGCAAGGCTTGTTACTCTTACAGCATAGGGTAAGCTGTAAAAAAGGATATCATAATAAATAAAAAGGGTGGTAGTTATGCAACACTCTTCCTATGCTTTGCTGTTCTTACTGCTGCTAAGACAAGAGTCTGCCAAATCCAGTGGCTCTCTTATTTGCTGTTTAGTTTCAAAAGGCTAATGTGGTAAAATCATGAGGGAATTAGTGGGTGGGAGGAAGTGCACAAACAGGCTGATTATCTCCTGATGTGAGATGATGGTGAGGCAGAGCAGGCAGGGGTTGACTCTACTCCCTTATTTGTACTAACACTTCAAAAGAGTTAAAATTAAACCATTTACTGAGCAGTGTTTGCAGATAAGTTAAATAGCAAGTGGTTATTTGGTTCTGTAATTAGAGTTATTATATAATAGCTCCTCCCTCATTTTTTTTTAAATAGAATCTGCAAACAAGTTTGAGACAACATGAAGGTAGAGAAAGAGAAGAGTGAGGAAACGTATGGCTTGGTAGGCAACCTAATGCAAAACAAAGGGTTGCTTTACATGGGTGCTCCCTGTTGTACCTAACAAAAGTACAAATAACAGAAAAACAGTAAATGGAAGACGCCAGCACTTACCTTTCTTTGAACAGTAGCATAGCTTTGCCTAGAAGCTTGCTTCTTCAGGAGGAAGAGGTGGCTGCTGAGACTAGCTTTTTATAGAGAGAGAAAGAGCATGCTAATGGGCTCTAGGTAACGAGCCTTCACAGTTGAACTCAATTAGCCTTGCTTGCATACCCGTTCAAAGTAGGTGCTTTATGCCAGCACATAATTAGATCTGGCACGAAGGAAAGAAAACAGTTTTTTTTCTGACCTGCTTTGTAAGTGCTGTTTTCTGGTAATCCTTACTTGGGCTCTGCTTTTTTAGCAGGTTGTATACTAAACTACTGTTTACTGTGTACTACTGTTGTGGTATGAGCGCTAGACCTCCCAGCAGGCGTTTTTCAAGGGCCGTACCACCAAAGAACCTGCGTCCTACGCGCAGGCTGCAGTAAGGTGATTGGGCATCAGCCACGCGGTGCTGTCAGGTGGACATCTGGAAATGCGTGCGCTGCCTTCCTCATGAGCTGCCTTTTCTCTCCCCTCTGACATCAGTGAGTTCCTCCCCTCCCTTTTTTGTTGGTCACCTCTACTGTGCACCTGCACTCCTGCCCTTTACTGTGATGGACAAAGGATTGTTGACTAGCTTTTTAGTGTCAGGAGCTGAGCAGTGTATTGTTTAGTTTTGCTAGAGACTTTCTCAGGACCAAAGTATGACCCAGGAGCTCTCTAAATAAAATGGGAAAGCTGTGAATCATCGGATGTCTTTATTCCTTTAGGTGCAGTGGGGATAGCGTAGAAATGAGCTTCTAAGATCGACGTTGCCACAGCCTTGAGGCTTGGTCAACTGTTGGGACAAACTAGTGTGTTATCTGTTGTGTAGTAACCTCAAATTTCCTGGAACTGCCTGAGGGGCAGAACAGAGTACGTTTTGCTGAAATAGCTTTGCCTCTAAGGCTATTAAAAAATTTTCGGTTTGTAACCGGGTTGCATAGAACATAATAATAAACAGCACCAAGACAGCAGGTGCCCTGAATGCAGCACGTCTTCAGTAGGGCAAAGAAAAGAGCAGGGGCCATCTACATGTACTGATGTGTGTTCATGCTTTCATGCTTTCTGGCTCCAAGTTCTCCAAAGCAAGAATTCTGTGTGTGAATCATAAGTATGGAATATAGGAACCATCTTGACATTCCCTGTCAAGACTTACAGTGTTCACGTGTGAAAATCAGTGTAAGGGTGTTACCAGAAGCTGTGACCTGTGCTGCCTTGCATCAGCTCTTTTAGCTAAGAAAAGAACGATGGGAAACTGAAAAATACTGAAAGAGCATCCAGACTCAGTGAACCAGCCAGACACTGATCTTCATTTTGTAGACATCAAGGAACTATTGTTACTGGATTGGATTTTGGCTTTAGAAGTTCTGAGTCTTGGCAAGGAAAGGTGCTAAAGGCATGGAACGGTTTCAGAGGAGAGCAAGGTGAACAAATGAGCGGTGGCAGGCTGTAATAACTTAAAGCAAAGGTGGAGATGGATGGATGTCGCTTGTGTACAAAGACTGAAGAAAGGAAGGAGACTTAAGCGGCAGCTGCAAAGACTAAAAGCATAGCTGAGTTCAGTGGGAATAAAAGGAAGTAAAATGAAGTCACAGCTATAGGATTTGGCAAGCACGTTCTGGTGCGTCTGTGGAGAATTACATAAACGTGAGCATGGGAGAGCTTGACCATCTTGTAGCGCAGTGCTTTATCCACCTGCAATGCTACTTATGCCATCTAGTTTTGCTGACAGACTGCAGACGACGTCTGATTCTGTAGCAGCCAGTGATGGAATCTGATACTGGTTATAATGGCAGCTTTTTGCAGTTTTTTTGTATAATCTAAGGACGGGAGAAAGGCAAACCACTTTCATGATTTCCCATCAGCTTCTCAAACAGCTCTTATAGTTGGGGGAATTTGTTGAAAAATCACTAGTCACGTGGTGGGAATCTCCCGCTTCCTCACTGAAGCAGAAGCTGTTTCTGAAAACACAAGGAGTACATATGTCAGGGCAGTAAAAAGGATCTAGTGCTCAAATCCTATGCTTCCTCTGACCTAATCTGGGACTGGAAAATGAGGGGAGTGAGGGGAAAAGCCTTTCTTGGAAAAATTTTTTTTTTTTTAACAGAAGATTACACCTGTGCATAGTAATATTGTTAGAAAGTCAGTGTGTTTTAAATGGAACTTTATGGGTACTCTACTAGCATTGAGCTGTACAGTACCAGACACCGAGGTGCCGGTGCACTTACAAACACGTACCGCACCAAAGGATACTGAACCTTTCTTGGTACTTTTACACTCTCCTTAATTTTGGTCTTGTGTTCCCCTTGGATGTCTCTCTCTGCTGCGATCCCTCTCTTCCTAACCCCTGTCCTGTGACCAGGGCTGCCAGACTTGCAGCTGCAGCAGGTTTGAGCTGGAGATAGCAGGCAGAGTTTTGCACCCACAAGCCCGCTTCACCAGCTATGTACTTGCTCAGGAAGGTCCCTCTTCTGCCACTTGCACTGCCCCCCCCAACCCTGTTGTTTAAAAGTCTTGGAAGTAGCATTAACTTAGTCTTTATATAAAGCTTCTCCCCAGACTTCATGTACCTGTAGTAGGGGAACTTCTAATTTGCACTAGCACAACTCCCATGGCAGTGAGCTTTCACTATGACCTGTCTGCAGTGCAGCCTGCCCAGCTGCCCTGAGTAAGGCCTTGGCAAGCTCTGGCCTTTCTCCCCTGCTCCTCCATGCTGCCTGAAGGCTTTGGCACTTTACATTATCACCTGCAGCAGGGATGTAATAAGCCTTTGCCCTGCATGCTCTGCGTTTGTAATGAAAGTCTCCCACCTAAGATTTAGCCATAAAGCCACGTTTTCACCCATAAAATTTATGTTACTGTAAAGCACTTTGGTTATTTTGCACAGAAGCAAGTTAGGAGCGTTCATTTGTTACAGCAACTCCGCTAAGGGACAAGTTGGAGGTAACTGCTCCAAGCTCAAAAGGGAGGGGAAGGAGTGGAATTCGGAGTTTCAGAGGGGACCCCCCACACTCCTCAGTACAAGGCATCAGTCGGCTAATATTGTTCAAAGGAAGCGTTCCAACTGTTCATGAAGCCATAAAGAGTATTTTCTGCTCCTGCTACTCTGTCATTCTCTTGTATTTGGAAGTATTGAAACTGTACTTGTTTTCTCTATCTTTGAATGATATATATGGCATGTCCAGGAGTTCTGTGCATGGTATCTCCTATTGCAACCCCTAGTCCATTTTTTGTGTGTGCTTACACAAACACATGAAATCCAAGGTGTCATGGTTGAAAAGCTGCCAGACCCAGCTGCATACTATCTTATAGGAACATTCTCTTCTTCGGATAATGCAATTTGGTTAGTCACTACTACCTAAAATCCTCAAAGGAGGAACACCACCAGAGTCTGACATTCAAAAACCAAGAAAGCAGGTGAGCCACAGCGAGAGAGGAACTAACCTTTAATTAAGAAAAGAGATGTTCTGCAGCCACAGGCAATGGAGCCTATTAAAAATCCCTAAATCCTCCTCAAATATTCAAGAATGATAAGAAACAGATATGGTTTTTCATCTAAATTTGTGTCTTTTACAGCATCTGAATAAAAGACCAGGTGGTTTACACATACCAGCTTTGTGTACACCGGTTTATGTTTCAATGCAGCAATTGACAGGAAATTGCCCATTGCATGTGCACCTCTTGCCAGGGTGTCCTGGACAAACGGGCTCCAGCTTCCCACAGACTCTGCGGAAGTGCAGGTAGCAGCCAAATAAAGAATGTGTGAATCCAGTACTGGGATCCAAGCACAGCTAGAGCAGCGTTTAAACAGAAGTTGACTAGGCAAGTCTCCTTGACATTTTTCTTTAATCATCTTTCAAAAACAACATACCACAGACTTTGGTTGCAATTATTTTTTTTAATGGAAAAGACTAATCAATGTTTTACATAAATATCAATTAGTGATAACAGATCAGTTGAACAAGTAAATGAATACATATGTAACCCCCAAGTTTTAAAGGCTCATAATGAACTGACAAAGTAGCACACATTGACAACTACAAGGAATTATAAGAGGTGGGCTGCACTTCAATCACCTTCATCAAGTTCAATTGCTAATCAAAGTAGGCTATTATTGGAGTTAGTTACAGTGCACTCTTCCCGTGCAGCAAAGACGACACGCTGAAAGGGGAAAAATTAACTTCAAAAACATCTTCCTGCTTTCAGTAGAAAGCCCAAACTACAGAAGTCTCAAGTGGTCCACAGATCGTAAGCCCTTTTGGGGGTCTAGTTCCAGAGGTGCGGTGTAGCCCTCTCATACCTTTATTTTTACACAAATGCACAAGTTACAGCAGACAGGAATGCATTCCTGTCTGCTAAGTGGTATCAAGGTTAGATCTTGCTAATAATTTATTTTCTGCGCCATTGTGAAGAACGGAAACCACTTTTATTCCAGGTAAGACTTCGGGGATGGGGCAAAGTGGGAGCTGTTCTGTACACTCATTAAGATAATTTGTGTAAGTGACTAGAAGCTGCACCAGAGACTGTATAATTTTACAGTTTTTCATGCAAGCTGGCAAGCATGATCCACATTTCCATCTAGCATCTCTGCACTGTTTCCTATGGACACAAAAATCTTAAATACCTAAGGTGGTGTTACTCATTATGCCCACTGCTGCAGTGATCACAACTACGCCAACCCCACTGTCATATGCATAATACTAAGGAAATCCACAGCTTAAGTATCTTTAAAAAGGATCAGTGGGATCCACGCAGGTTGCCAAGGTGGTGTTTTCCAATTAAATATGAGAAGGCATCTAATTCCCCAAATCTTAACTTTAATACTATGTGGCTAAGATGCCTGCTTTGCAGTGGCTTAGTCAATACAAGTTATTTATAAATTATCTAAAACTAGTAGAAACATACATGTTCCATCGTACAGCTTTTTTCACTGAAATTTAAATTGTTACTAAAAACTAGGGACACAGGTTCTCAGTCTACTGATGTATGAAAACTAACACCACAGAAAAACCTGGCAATTCAGCTTTGCTCTTTTCCTCTAACAGACCCAAGTCTGCCCTGTTCTCTGAATGGCTCAGAAATCTGCAAGGAAAGTTTTCACACAAAACTAAGTAACCAATTCTCCTGTCACTGGTCAGGCCCCATAAATTCATATCTCTTTCAAAATCTAGACTCCCCAGGCTCAGCTGGGAGACACACCAATAGAAGATGCAAACGAAATCTTTAAAGTTAGCAAATGCCCAATAAAAAAAAAAAATTGCTTCCAAATACAGCCTAAGCCATCTTATGATCCCAGTAAGCTGGAACCCAACTCACAACAAAGTTGTAGCAGCTGAGAGGAACTACAACACCTGAAAAGTCAACACCAAAGGTGGAGGTTTCACAGCACCAGAGATTTTGCTTTATACCTGCACTGGCTTTCAAGTGACAACCCATTAAAGAAGATTCACATAGTCTCATAACAGATACAACTTTACTAACACCTCTACAGTGTCAGTTTGCTTATGCTCAGTGGGTCTACGTTTCAGAATTAATCATAACAAAAAGGCATTTTCTGCACCATAACTCTGTTCTATGAATATTTTTTCTTTTTGTTATAATTTTGGAAGAAAAAGCAGACGGCCAAACACAAACACAATAATTCATCTGGCTGCAGTCACTCAGCGTGGATGTGCGATTAATCAGCAGGAAGGGGACAATTTCAACACTTCTAGTTCTTCACATCTAAACAAATTCAAAATAGGATTATTCTCTTTGATCTCTGGTAAACAGAAAGTAACACTTTTGGACAAAAGCATGTATAAGGCACACTGGAGAAAAAAACTCAATACTAAGGTGCTTTTTAGAAACAAGACTTCTGTATTTAGGTTTTGATGTATGCTTGCCCAAAAAGGACACTTTTCATGAATTTCAAAAACAGCGATAAGAGTTATCTTGGCAGACAGCAAAACATGACCCCACCTGTAAATACACTATCAAGATAAGAAAGCAGCTGCTTAGAAATTCAGACGTTAAGTGCACATTTTAGTTATAGCAGAAGTTACCAAGACCGTACCAAGAGTTAATCAATTTAATAGTGATTTACTGAAGAACGTAACTCCCTCCCTAGCTTGGGATCGAAAGAGAAGGAAGGAATAATGAAAAACCAGACTGGTCCAAGCTGATAAAAAGGAATATAAGAAGGAAATCACAATGCTGTTAGCCATTACTTTTAGAGAACTTCAAAGATGGTAATTAGCTACCACCCTCCATACTCCGAGAGTTACGTTTAGGTCTGAGCGTTCTAACACATTCTATGCATCCTACCTGTAAAGGAGTCCGGTACAGCCATTTTTCTTTATCTCCACTCAGCTTCATACAGGCAAAAAGGTCACAAACTGTAGGAAGGCCAAATTCCTGAAAGAGAAAATCACCTTAATTACCGCTATCTAAGTATAACTTAAATACATTCTGATGCATCTTCAAATTCTGTCAAGTTTCGCAAAGAAAACAATACTGATCTCAAAGAATCTCAGTATTCAGTTTTTTGCTCATTTAATAAGACCAGTCAGACTTCAAAATTTATGTTTAGTGCTGGCCTCATTACTGAAATAACTAAGAAGTCATTGAAAACATAAGAAGAGGAAAGAAACCTAAAAATCATCTCTCAGTATTCTCCAGAAGAGTTACGAATTTGAAAAAAGAAAAAAAAAGCGCATTAGATTCAATAAAATAATAAAACTCAGCACACTGGCTTAAGACCCTGCAGTAACAAAACTTGAAACATGCTCACTTGTGCTTTCTTGCGTAGGAGCCATTTATCTTCCACTGGAGGCGGGTTAGTATTTTCCAGGTTATTTGAAGTCACCACCCAACTGTTTACGTTCAGGGGGAGGTGGAACGGAGCCAAGAGGTCTAGGAAAGGACTCTTGAAACTAGTATCTGCTTTCTCCCTACTTGCCTTTTCTTCTGCACTTTCTGCTTTGTGCTCAGACTTGGCCAGCCAGCTTGTCAAAGGCCTTTCGAGCAATACTTTCAGAGGTTCTGCTATTTCTGCCGAATAATCTGATTTCTCAGCAGTCACAGGTTCCTCTGCAACCTGTTGGGAGGGGTAAAGCCAGGTGTTGCCAACAGACTTAGGCTTCTCGTGCTCAGGGTTTGGAATGGCTTTCTGGCTTACTGGAACGCCATTCTTATCCTTTCCTTCTTTCTTCAGAAGCCACTTACAGAGAGCCTCCTTGCCACAGTTTTCGTCACAGACGCACTCTGAAAAGCTGGCACACAGCTCATTTGCTTTGCACACATCTTCCACCTTCAATGGGGTGGGGGGATGCTGAAGCAGCCAAGCATTTACAGTTGATGTGGTGGGTGGTTTCTTTCCATCCAGATGCTCATTCAGGCACTTCAGATTTCCCAGGTTCTCAATTTCCACACCCTTGGCCTGGCTGCCACGACAACTGCTACACGTTTCAGCTTTAGGGAGCCAATCATTCAGATTAAATTCTTCCCTAAAAGGTTTAAATTCATACTTCCATTTCTCATCTGAAGCACTACTTCCATTTTCCGTGTTAGGCATAAGCAGCCAGTCAGAAAGATCCATCTCTTCTTGACCAAGGGATTCCAATTCCTCAATCTTTTCAGTGGAAAAGGATGAGGTGAAAGTAGAGGTGGAGTCCTTGCGGCCATAGGAAGCCATCTTCCCAGCAGCATCATGCTGTTGATTCTGCAGGAGCCAGTGTTCCAAATCTTTCAGATTTCCCCAGGCTTGCTCAAAATAACAGACTTTGGAAGAATTTAAATCCTAGTAAAAGACACATTGAAATGCATTTAATAACACTGAAAGACAACATTCAATTACTGTTTGCACAGTTATAGCTCACAGTATACTGAGAATAAACGCAAAGCTATTAGTTGAATATGAGGCAAGGAACAGAACTGCAGAAGGTGCATTTCCCACCATATTCCACCTGCAATCAGATACCACATTTTCCTTTTATTAAAGGTTAGGTTAGCACATAAAGAACATACCTGGCTGGAGTCTGACACACATTTCTGCATAACCCAGTCCTCAAGATTGGTGCTGGGTACATATGGAGTATGGCAAACACCCACAGGTCTGCTTCCAAGTAACCAGCCAGCCAGTGAAGCGCCCACTGTCCCATGGAATGTTTTCTGCTGACAAAGAGCGTTCTTGGTTACAAACATACCTAATTGCTGAAGTAATCTATGGTAAACATCAAAACGGGCATTCAATATGCATCAGTATTTCTGAAGCAAAAGAAAAAAATCGAGTCCCTTCTCACAAAAAACAAACAACCAAGAAAAACTGAACTGCCAGTATGACTAAGTCACTGTACCAACATATTGTTTTGTGTTCCAAGTCCCTTCAGAGAGCAAGTGACAAGGGAGGGAAGTACCAACTTCTATGATGTGCAGTTTTGATATGCGCAGTCCCACCGTAACCTTCCTTTTGACCATAGTTCCTCCGCTAATTTGATACCCTCCAAATCTGCATTGAAGCTGGTTCTGTGCACAGCCCAGTATAATATTTCCTGTGAATTCCTGCATTAAAAGGAATCGGTTCCAAATCCCAGCTTGACAATGCCTGGGAATATTTATTGCAATCATTTTCAATGAAAGTATGAATTCCAAATTCACTTTGATACTGTCTTCTCACACATCTATTCTTGGAGAAGCTAAAACATCGGAGTAGTAACATTCCCCACAGTGACTGTTACTGGCAACTCAACATCCTAACCAACAAACAGAAGTCATTACTCAAGCAAGCCAACATACTGTGCTTGAGTTCCCCTTTCACCTTAAAACAATTAAAAATGCAAAGATACAAGTCTTAATCTTACCTGTTCACAGTTCATTAGGGTACAATTCTGCCCTGGAAACCAGGGAGAAGTATTTTCTCTCTCAGAGGTTTGCTATAAGAAAAGTAAAGTAGGAGTCAATTTAAATCTCAATTTTGTCCAATTACTAAGACAAATTCTACAAAAAAGCAGAGGTAAAGCACCACTGCAACTGATCAGTTTTTTGTAGCTAAGAAGCTTCTTAATGTTTAAAAATAGAACAGAAAGAGATGTAGTATCAAAATACTACTTTCAGTCCACTACCATTAAAAGAATTACCTCCATTAATACAAAAAAAATGCTGTTTAAATAAGAATCTCAAAACATTTATATTGTAGAAAGCCATCTTCCTGCAATATACAACTAGTAACATCAAGAAAATCTTAATATGAATTTCTAGTTGTTGGTGAAGTGTAAGACCACTGCCATCATTTGCTCAGTCTCTGCCAAAGTACATCATAGTAACATGTACATTACCAGATGTAAACTTGGTCAAAACCAAAACTAAATGCAAAAATTAATAAACCACAGCGTATATATATATATTATATAGCTAGAACGATATGATTTATACACCATATCTACTCAACCTGTAACTAAAAAAAAAAAAAAAAAAAGAAAATCACTTGGAATATATCATACTGCTTTGAAAAAAGTTTGTTTGTTTGTTTTTTTGAAGTACTTTGATCCAGAAAAGCCTTGGCGCTTACCATTGTTTTAATGGAGCCAAATGAGGTAATAGCTTGGCGAAGGTAAGATGTGTCGGCTTCAAAGTTCAGGACGGAAGACTCTTCTGGTTTAAGAGTAAGACTTTCCAGTCTGAAAGAACAAGATGATAGTTACAGAAATTAAAAAATTATCATCTTTTACACCTGCTGTGTTTTGGGAATTAGACCAGCATTTCATAAAAAGGCTTCCAAACTGAAGCCTTGGCACTAATTACCTAAACAAAAGCTTTTCATACTTGTACAAAAAACAAAGAGGTGCCTATCAACAATCAAATAAATAAGCAAACAGCCAGCAAAACACAAATGCTTCCTTCTCACTTCCATTACCATAAAAAATTAATATTTGGAATAATCTGCACAAATTAGTGCCTCTGCTATTATTTATAGTCGTGTTCTTTCAATTTAAGATTAAAAACTGATGAGAGGAATCATATCAAAGATAGCTTTAAAGATCTTCTGTTCTGGAATCATTAAGGATGCACGAAAGAAAATGTGTGAAAGGTGAGCTGGATCTATTATTAGTTCTATTATAATAAAAAAAAAAAATCAGGTTAAATTAGTAAGTCAAAATCAATGCTAATGCACTATACAATATATTTACCTCTCCAGGCAAACTGAAATCTGGTTCGCTAGTTCGTTACTATAGGAGTGTTCCAGCTGATGAATAAGGCAATTGAACTGTCCCAAATACTGCACAGAAGACAAAATACATGTTACTGTTTTGGCTTCTAAGGGTAAAATTAAGAAAATACTACTTGCAAGACTGAAGTTTATTTGAAAATGTCAGTGCAGCTAAATCAGTTTACAACCAGATCTTACCCAATAGAGCTGCTGAGCTTGCTGCTGCAAGGCCTCCTCTTTGAGCTGCTGAATGAGATCTACCTGCTCAAACAGCCAAACCTCGCGACTGCGCAGGCACTCCAGGTGGCGACTTATGTGGCTGTGAATCTTTGCTTTCACCTGCAAGGTAACACGGAGCATGTCTAGAACGTCTGTCAAACAGTATGAACAACAATATGCTGTGCCCATTACAAAACAGTATTTCTCACAGAGAAGTTGTATTTTTGTACCAATCTATTTCTCAAGCGTTCCAAACACTAACCACCGGCACCCACTAAGCCACATGACTCACAAGTTAGTACCAGTTCCAAGGCAACCTCTAAAGGAGTATCAGAGAACACTTACTTGCAGCATCTCTCTATCCTAATGTTTAAACCAAGAGCTATTTCCAAGTATTTTCTAAAGTAGGAGAAAAATACAGACCAACACTTCAGTAAATTCTGCATGCCTAAGCTAGCGGTACTGAAGAGCATGACCAAGTTACGTAGCAAGATGCTTGCTGTCTCTAGGAAAATTTCAGTCCAGCATCGTATTATACAGAATACTTTGGAATAACTAGAACTGTCATTGAAGTCACGTTGATTTTATGTACATATTTTATTAATTTAAATTACCTCTCTCCAGTTGTCTTTAATCTGTTGTTCAGCTTTGACAATTCCAGAAATAGCTGTTTCCAAGTCCTTCTTAGCTTGAAGGCACTTTGCCAGAGGCTCACTGCTGCAGGAATTTCTACTTCTATCTTGTGGTGAACTCATTCTTGAAGTGTTTCTAAAACACGATGAAAAGCATTTTCCTTAACAGTTTCCCTTCCTCTTTAATGGAAGAAGTGGTTATCATATGAAAAAAAAAAAATCAACATCCATACATACATTTACTATAAAGGTGAACAAGAAAACCTAAGAACTGATACCAGTAAGTTTTCTATATATAAATAAAAATTAAGAAAATCACCAGCAGTGACAACAGTCTCTCAAAAGCCTTGGCACGTGAAATTAATGCAATCACAGGAAACCCAACAGCTATTTGTCAACAGACTCAACCACAGGAGCTTAAGCAATCCTCCCCTGCTGTTCACACTCCTCTGACATTTGTGCTTAGCCAGCAAACTCTAGCCACCGCGAGCTGATCCAGGACACATTCAGCAGACCTGCCGCAGCCAGGGGAGAACGGCCTGGCAAGTACTAGAGGGCAAGAACTGCTTCAGTCACCCGGGTTTAACCTGCAGGCAAATGAACTGGCTCCCTTAAAATCTCTCATAAATGAAAAAAATGTAATTCAGTTTCATCAGCTGAAAATCCCCATGTTAATACACAGTTCAAACTCTTCACTAAGCATCCAGGGCCCAAACTTACAAGAGTCACTGGTAACGTTTGTTGTGGACAAACACAGCCTGCAGTAACGTAGCTTCACCATATCCTCAAGTAAAAGGAACTCGGATATTAAATTTCTACAAGAGTTACACAAATAAGGATTTTGCAAGTCAAGCAAAAAAGCTAAATACAGATTTTTTTTTAAAATAAAAATAGGAAGCAGTAGCACTTTTTCCTAAACTGTGGGCGTTTTGTCACTTAAGAGTTTCAATCCTCCTGTTAAGTTTCATAGAATACATGAAGCACCAATAGTAAGCATTTTGTTTAAAAAGTCAAATAAATCTTCAGTAACGACATCTATGAAAATTCACAGCAGAATTAATTAGTTAAAAAGTGCACACATGCCAGTATAAATATTTTACAAATATTCTCCCCCCCACACACACACTGGAAGTCAAAAGAGTATTTTGAACATGACAACAAAACCACAGAGCTGGCGTTACTGAGCAGTTACTTAGTCTGCAATTTCCAAGCTCCATGACCATATAAACCGCAATCCAAAAAACCCTTCTGCAGCCAGGACCCACCAGACTCGAGCTGCACGTTTTGCCCGGGTCAGCAAAGTGCAGAGGGTCAGCAGTGGCCCCTGAACGGACGCAGGCAGAAAATGCAGCGGCTCCTCTAACAGCAAACCTTGCACGGGCCGGGCACCAGCGCAGCCTGGGAGGGGGCAGCTGCGGGGCCGCAGCTCCCTGGTGCCACCACACTGAGGTCCCCAGGTCCCAGTCTCGCCCTGGCCACGCACCACAGCGCAGGAGCCGCACCAAGCACCACCATGCACCTTGACCCTGACCCTACTCTCGCCATCACAGCTCACCTTCTAGGAAGCACAGAGCACATTCCAGCTGCAAGAGAAAGGAACTTGAATTTAGTTCTTAAACTTGCATCAATTCCGCCCCGACTTATTCAGGGTATTGAAGTCCAAAACATGCCATTCTCCATTCTGTGCTATCAAGGCTAGCTTTATTCTACTATTTTCACAGTGCAGTCTGGTACCAGGTTCAGTTACATAAGGTTTCACATTCTTCATCTTGCCAGTGATTTTCAGTAAGAGATAAGCTTATCCTTTACAACATCCTTTAAATTTTATCCTAATTTCATACTGACACGGTAGAACTTGGGAAACTTCTATATGCTCCTCTAATACTCTGAGGATATTATGGTTTGTTGCAAGATTTTTTAATTTGTTTGTTCTAGTTGCACGAATCTCTCGCCAAAATGAATTCAGAGATAATTCGGTACTGCCTGTGAGGATGGAAGATGACAACTCTTGCAATATGGCTGTTCTTACAGGCTGGTTTTTAATCAGACATAAAACTACATTTCAGGATGTCAAGAGAGCCGATTCATTGCTAATTTCAATTTCTGCAACCTTTTAACAAAAAACAGCAAAGACAAGTGGCGTAGCAACCTATTTCATTGTTTCCCCATTATCACAAATTTCATAGCACTCGCAGGCTAAGATATATTCAGGTCCCATACTTTGAAGGAAGTGAAATCAATACACTTATGATCAATAGGAACAAACCACAGTTACTGCTGCAGTGAGATACCGAGTTGCAATATGTAACCTTAATTCACCCTTTCTGGCAAATACCATGTCATCCAGCTTTTCCCACCCCCACTGCAGTATCACCCCGTTGGTACGTTATTCCACGGAGGGACACGCCTCCCCCACCCGGATCTGCTGAAGTTGCACTTATCCTCCAAACGGAGGAGTGGCCAGCGGCGCCCTGTTGAGGAGGCTGCTTTCATTTGCAACTTTCCATTGCACAGTAGCTCTGACTCCCACCACTTTTAAATAGTCATAGGCAACTTTTTTTTTTCCTCCCCAAAACTCTTTCC